GATATTTACGTAAATATTTTAGAAAATAGAGGTCGTATAAAAAATTTTTTCAAGCAAAAGTTATTTGCGTTTTTACGTTGAATAAAATGCTGTAATAAAAAATATGTATTTCTATTTACAAAAGCAAAGTTGACCTTGTTCTGACCTTGGCGACGCCATCCTATGTCAAATAACTACTATTGTTAAATGCGTTTTTTTAAGCCTTACAACTTTTGTCTGAAACATTTTTCTCTCTCGTGCTTGGTTTTCGACATATTCGACTGGATGGATTAAAATGGTCCACCCTGTATATATTATATGAATATTCTATGTTGAAAATTAAGTTTAAACATTGAGGGCCGGTTTTTTAATGATGGTTTAAACTTGGATTTAAGTTTAACTTCTAACAATGCGTTTGTTTTACTTAAACAGTTTACTTAAAAAGTTGAAATCTAAGTTAACTTTCGTTGAAAAACCAGCCATTAAAGACCGAAAATAATGAGAACGTTCAGAATTAGTCACGTGGCATTGATATCTTTCCTTTGGATTATCTTTCTTTTGTGCGTGAATTAATCTCGATATCGATCGCCGGGCGACTCGTCGCAATATCCAATGTGTTAGACGCAGTTATGAAGAAGAACGTTAATCAATGTAAATACATCAATTTGTTTACATTAACTAGGTATAATTAATCCATTTTGTCAAAGTGGCTCGTGTGAAATGGGTCTCTGTGAGATTATAAGTATAATCTCGAGTGTGTTTATGCATTTTTGTTTTTTGCAGAAAGATTCGGGGACTCTAATGTCATATAATCAGCACGATTTCTACACTAAGACTATAAATACATTTGATCTCTATAATGAGCAAGATAACAAAGTTGGCTATCTCTACGAAACGATTAATGTTAGATTGGAATCAGTAAAGAAGTAAAGAACATGACACGAGTATCACGTTGATTCAAACGCTAAGGGATACGCTCAGTGATCTCAATTTGGCAACGAACAAAATTACACGGAGGACATATTTTTAACTCGATTTTAAAATATTCTTGACATGTGACATTAAACTGCATAATGTGTTATAATTATTATAACTACGTAAACACGATATATATATACAGCTTTTGTTATGTTTCTATCCTTTTTTAAATAAAATTTATAATTTTGCTGCCCGATAACTTCTCCGACTTGCTTAATTCTTCTCTTTATGAGTAGAGAATCACCAAATAATAAATTCCTTATTCTTATTACCTCGTCACTTACTAGTGTATACATATGTGTGTGTCATAGGCGTAATTAAAGATATTTCATGAGACCATTACTTTCGCGATCATACGATACAGATACAGGTCAGCGATTTATTAGGGCTCTTCTTCGTCGTTATTGTGTGTTAGTTTCTTACGTGTATTGTTATATCTGTCATTATCGTAGATTCTGTATGTGTGTTTTGTTTGCGTCTATTTCTTACGGTAAAGCAGCTTATAAAATTTGGATATCTCTGCTCGACAGAGTAATAACCATTTTTAAATAGGATAAAACATGTGGACGGCAACATTTACAATCTGCCAAGCAAGATAAAAGATTTAAATAAAAGATTTAAATGATATTTCCGCCTGAATCTCTAAAATCTCACTCGTTCTCTCATCAACTCAAATGCACTTTTCAGCATCTAAATGAACCTCTCGATTAATATGGAGTAGTTGAATGCGTTCAATTATATTACGACATTAATTACTATATAATAATTTAATATTAATTGTCATAATATTAATCACGGCCAATGAAAAATTCCCTGACAACGTCCCCGTTTATTTTTCCTTCGAAGGCGTGTTAACGCGACGTGTAACGAAAGCAAATATTTTGAGTCATTGCGAACCGACGTATAATCGCAATTGTTTGTTGCAGATATCGTCGTACAGTGTTATATACGTTATCCAAGTACAATTTCCAGTTTAAAACGCAGAACACTTTTAAGTTGTACAACCAGAATATGATTCAAATTGGTAACGCTGTGGAGAAAATTGAAGTTTTTTCAAAATCAGTACTGCCCTCGCAAAACTTTCCATTCAGGATCTTTTTCAAACCTATCTTGGCGGGTGCGATCGCAGAAGATTCAATACGTAATAAGCGATATTGGTTCTGTAAACAGACCTTCTTGTTACAAAATTGTTAATTTCTTTTGTCGCTCCGCACAATGTTGAGTGCTAACTATATGCAAGAGTGCCGTTTTACAAATATCAGCTTTTTTTACAAATATCGATTACAGGAAATGGATGACGTGTTAACAGAAAATACTGAACCCTGCAGTTTCAAATTGTTCAGACAAAAGTACGTGAAATTATGCTTTTATGTTGTCATAATCTTTCATGACAGGATATACGCAAAGAATTCAAGAAAATGCATTCCCAAACGACGCACATACAATTTTGTAAAATTATTACAACATAATCTCGTTTTACTTTACCTGAAAAATTCAAGAATATTCACTACACAATCCGAAGTTTTACTTTTAGTAGTCTCAACAAGGTATAGGAATAAATAAAGGTGTATGTGAAAAAGCATTTATTTCGTCACACAGTTTTTCTGAAAGAAACCGGTTTCTTTATTTATTCCTATACCTTACTGAGACTACTGAAAGTAAAACTTCGGATTGTGTAGTGAATATTCTTGAATTTTTCAGGTAAAGTGAAACGAGATTATGTCGTAATAATTTTACAAAATTGTATGTGCGTCGTTTGGGAATGCATTTTCTTGAATTCTTTGCGTATATTCTGTCATGAAAGATTATGACAACATAAAAGTATAATTTCACGTAATTTTGTCTGAAAAATCTGAAAATGCAGGGTTCAGTATTTTCAGTTAATACGTCATCCATTTCTTGTATCTTTCACACACTGCGGTGAGATTTCGCAAATTTCGGATGTTTAACAGTTTGACTGTCGTCTGGATTTTGCTGTATTTATAAATATTTATTTGTGTGTCGGTTTCTATTGTGTGTTAGTTTCTATTATACAACAGCTGGAAGATGGTTTAAAAGGTGCTTTTGTCCGGAGACAAATGATTATCGTTTTTCTGCTGCGCGGTTCTCAATATAAATATTCGCGACACCAAGCTTCGCAAGTTCTTTCTGCGACACACATTCCTGCCACACGGCACGCGAGGGCTATATACAAGGTGAGGAAGCTCCTTTTTTCAATAAACCAAAAATCGATCGCTTTTTTGCGCTCTTTTGCGTCGACCGTCGTTCGAATATCTTTCCTAAAATTCTGCTCTTGTTTGCATCTCGTCGGACGCGCATTCTTCAGCGTCTACAGAGAATTGCACGTTACACGTTGCACGTGACCTTGAAGTCGTGAAAGCAGATCGATTCTGCAGAAGCAATCTCTGACAGAGACACCAGGATTATTCAGTAATCAGCGGAACACCATGTTAGTTTTACCCATGATACCGTTTTTTCTAGGTCAGTTGAGCGTTCCATTACTCGGTTAAATCTCGGTATACCTCTCATTGCAACGAGTAACGTTATGCTGGATTTTTTCTAGGCTATGTCGCAGAGGATAAAAGCAACCCTTCGCCCTCGTACATATTCCAAGTGCGGATAGACACGTTATTCGTCAACAAATCAGGAGGACACAATGAGGATAGCAACGCTGGCCTGGCGTTCAACCTGAAGTGTCAGCCGCATAAGGATCAAAATCTAAAATGTCGCATCCCGAAGACCATTTCTTATTCACCGAGCAGTGACTTCGTACACAACATGAACAATAAGGTTTTCACGCCGTCATCATTTCAATTCAGCCGGATACGTTACCGAATGGGCTTCGATTTTAAGGGAGTAAAGAATTATCAGATCTTGACGGATAACGTAACAAACGAGGAGGCCCTGCTTGACATGTATGAGTTCATTGGGGATCAGCTGAGCGTCGGTGCTAACCTCATAACAAACGACTTAGAATTCAATACGACGGAGGACACCATTAGCGGCAAATGCCCGACATTTTACAAAATCTATTATGATGCGATGTCGAGTACAAACAAGTTCATGCTGAAATCCTTAATTCCGAGCCAGAAATACAAGTTGAAGAAGGGCAAATCGCTCCATATTAATAAACAAAGACGTGTGAACGAGTGCCAGCCGCAGAAAAGTTATTTCTTTGGAAAGATCTTATGGACCGACCTCATAACATCGAATGTCACCGCGAAGCCGGTACGTATCGACGAATTCACTTAGGTCCTCGTGGTCATTTGAACGCAGGAATTTCGATTCGTATGACTCGACTATGTCAACAGCTGTTGACGTGTTGTTGGCCGTTACATCGAATCCTTTGTTTTGTTTGTTCAACAGTTTAATCGTAATCAAGTAACTGTTTAAGGATACGCGGTAGATCGATCAATAGAGAGAGTTAAAGTCAACTTCCTGATATGTACCTAGTCCTGGACACACATTCTTATTATTCGTGTATGAGTTTTGATTTTCAAATACAAATATATAAAAAATATATACAAATATATATATACATATATATATATATATATATATATATATATATATATATATA